CCCACACACACATCTGCCCCCCTGCATCTGGCCGCTGGGGGTACACTCATCCAAAAAGGTTGAAAACCCCTTATATAGGTAGATTAACAGCATTCTGATAGGCAGTCTGATTTGCTGCCATTGATCCTTTTTCTGGGAATGTGACATGGCTTAACTTTAAGTGCCCTTGAGACTTGTTACTGAAAGTATGATACATTTTTCCTCTATTCTGAAGTATAGTCTTTCTCCACTAGATGGCAGTAAAGAAAGCAGATTCCCTCAGGTTGAGAGTTTTACTGTTAACTTTCCTTTGGTGATGGGTTTTCATTTATGTCCCAGTTTTTATAAGAGGTTTTCCAGATAGGTTTGTAAATTTAACAAACCCAAAATATTGTTTCTTACATGCAATTTTTAAAATAGCTTTTGGAAATAATTTAATAATGGCTATATAAAGAATTGGTGATTCACTGGATAAATTAAGCATTTATAGTACTCTGATGCTGATCACACTGAACTAATGCAACTGTGCCACTGATACAGTATAGGACAAATGGAACTTTTATATCAGTTCAACTGATGGGTACTGTTAAATAGGAAATACTTGGGTATTTGGTATAATATTGTATGGGTCCATAGTTTTAGGAGGCAACTTTATTATAGGATACTACATGTAACATAACAGTGTTAAAATTGTTTTTTCTTTTGCTAACTGTTCTCTTGTAAAGTCCTGCCTCTTTGTGTCCTTGTGACAAAGTATTTAGCAGAATTTGCAGATTCTTTGGAATCTGACAGAACTGCACCATGAGTGCTTCTGCTACGGCCTTGAACTTGCAGCTTCTAGGCTGTCAACTGTGCACCTTAGTGTCTGTGCCTCTCCAGTCCCCCTATTGTAAAGTACAAAAAAGAGCTCCTCCTTCCTCCAAAAGAAAACTATTAAATCAGCCTGAGAGCACAATGTTGCAAGTTCTTACATTCAGTTTGTGCTTACTAATGTATCTCTTTTTTAGAGATACATTAGTTCCTAAGCATAAATGTGGTCCCAATGACTTCAGTGAAACTACTTGTGTGTTTCATTTTAAACAGGTTTGCACTATAAAGGGCTAAAATTATATTTAAAAATATTTTAATGGTTCTTACTGGGATAAAACCTATGTTGTACGAAAACAGTTCATGCACAAAGAAAATCATTATATTTTTTTCAATCCATTTAAGAAGGTTATTGTGAACTTTATGGGCCAAGACTATAAAAATAGGAACCTGAAAGTTAGGTTCAGCCTTTTAAAAACAACAAGATGACTTTTTGCAACCAATGAGACTTGTTTTACTAAGTGCAAACTTGAGTAGGGGTGGGGAAAAGTGCAGGTTCTTTGAAGCATTTCAGTGTTTCTGATTTGTAGAATTGACAGTTTTGGAAGGTGGTGCTAGAAAATAGTGCTCAGGCTATTAGTTACCACTTGTGTTTCTCTGATTTATTGTTCTTACAGAAATAACGTTAATAAGGCCCTCAAGGTCTCTCTCATAAATGAGATTTTAAGCATTACACTTTTTAGAAAGAAACCTCTACCCTTAACTTTTTTGAAAAATTCAGAGTGGGATGATGTTATTGCAGTTCATTCACATTCTCAGAATTGATTCCTCTTCCCGAAACACAAATGCAGATAACCGCAACTTGGGTAGGAACTTCAGTATTTATTGTCACCAGCTTCTGTTTCAATATGTGATGCTTCGGTTTCTGTTTGACCTTTTCCTCCCAAAGTTTGGAAATGAAGACCCTCGTTCTACTAAGATTTATGCCAGATAAATGACTTTTTGCTTTTGTTACTTTTTAATGTTGGATTGAATTAATTTGTTTTATGTATTCTTTTCAGAACAAGGCTCAGGAAGGAAATCAGTTTAATGGAGACCTCATTCAAAGGCAAAACTTTCAGAGGTACTGTCTTTTTGTCACTAGTGTTTGTTTAGAAATGCAGTGAACATAAAGGGCAAAGGGGATCTCTAAGTTGAATTCATTTGCATATACTTAGTTTTGACCATGTTTCATATTTAACAAAAAAAAACCCTTTAGCTTTTCCATGTTGATACATTAGAATGAATAGGAGTACTGACCTGATCTCCAAGCCAGAAGAGAAGATATTGACTTCTGGCTAGTGTACAAATGACACAAGTTAATTACCATTAGCTTTTTTAGTTGTATCAGAGCTGATTTGAGTAAGTGGGGATCACCAGAGGCTATCAAGTTGATTGTTTGGGGTATAACAGTCTTTGGAGAGCTCTGTAAACTGGAATGGTGATTTTGAATTTACTAATGGCTTCAAAGCATAGTGTGCTGGAGTGGGATATGTGGTCCTATTAATTGCAGCATTATATTTATTTGGGTGTTTTTTAATTTAGCGAATAGGAGTTGAATTTTATTGCATTTACTATTGAGCAGCCAACATGAGATATCATGAAGCCTTTATTCAGGAGTTGGTTTCCTTGGCTAATTTCTTCTGAATTACTGAGTTGGGGTATTCTTAGGTAAGTAAGTAAAGTATCTGAATGAGGGAGCATAGGATAGCAGGGAGATTGTGATGTCTGAGCACAGGTGGCAGTAGGAAAAGGATACTGAACATCCTCTAGAGCCATGCTGATGACAAGATAGGAAAATAAGTGCTATACCGCAGTAGACTAATGGTCTCCCACCCAGTAGCCTGTTTCTGACAGTGGCAGAAGTGGATGCTAGAGATCAGTGCTTTTCAACCACTGTGCTGTGAAGAGCTCCCTAGTGTGCTGCAAGAATTTCATAACTGCTGGTAGTTGTTTGTGAAGGGGAAATACTTTATTTCAGGTATAAAGATTATTTACTTAAAGCTAATGTAGAAATTCATCTACTGTACATGTGTTGGCTGTGGGGGACACGCAGTTCACAAGCCTCTCGGCTTTCAGTTCATGCCATTCATTTCAGTGCATGGTGCCCTCAGGCTTGAGTGCAGCTTGTAATATACCTACTGTGTGTGCGCTTCTGCTTTTACTTTTATTATGTGGCCAGAGTGCTCTCATAGTATTCAGTCTTTGTGTCAATTTGACTTTTTAAAATGGAGAAATTCTTGAAGAAGATCTCATTAGCTCCTGAAAATTCATGTAGCAACTTGAATGAAAGAGAACCTTCAATTAAGAAGATGAAGTCACTGACCAGGCAGTGTAATAAAGACTACTTGGAATTTTGTGTTTTTTCTGGTGTGGTGTCACTTCATCTCCTATGCCCAGGAGCTTAATGTGCAGAGAAAAATTATCAAATGACTCTATGGTCCCAAGTAAGCTGAAATGCCACCTTTCTACTAAACACCCAACTTATATAAACAAAGGCAGGGACTTTTTATTTAAGAGGTTGCAGGAAAAAAATGCAAAGCAGAGTAACCTTACAAGATAAACTTTCATCAGAAATGAACAGGCGTGCTGTAGGGATGGGGAATACCTTAACAGGTATACCGTAAAAAACTGTTATTAATGTAAATGTGCCATGGGCTGGAAAAGGTTGGGAAATACTGCTATAGATGGAGAGCATCTAACCAGATATCTCTAGAGTGATCTATCCCTTTTCAGTACCCTCCCTGGTATCCACCATTTATTTAGCTAGGGATGTCAGAGGAAACATTTTAATCTATTCTGTTTAATAGCCATTAGTAGATCTATCATCTGTGAATGTATCCAGTCTCTTTTAAATCCTGGCTATGCTCCCCTACCTCCTATGGCAATGAATTCTAGAAGTTAACTACATGTGTAAAAGAAGTACTTTATCTTGTTAGTTTTTAAACCTGTCTCCCACTAATTTCAGTGGGTGCCCCCTTGTCTAGTATTCTGGGACTTGGTGAACAACAGTTCCCTGTTTATTTGGTCCACCCCCTTCTTGATTTTATAGACCTCTATCATATCCCCCATCTACCATCTCCTTTCCAAACTGAAGAATTCTAGCTTTTTTAGACTTTAGATTTTTAGCTCCAGGCTCCTGATCATTTTGGTTGTCTTTCTCTGTACTTTTTCTAATTCTACTACATCCTGTTTGAGACATGAGGACTACAGTGGCACAGTATTCAAGATGTGGGCACACCACATAACCATGTTGACTGTTTTGCTTTCAGTTCCATTCTTAATGATGCCCAACATCTTACTATTTGTTCCTGATTGCCACTGCACACTGAGCTGACTGAGTGCAGTGACTCCAAGGTCTCTTTCACAAGTTGTAACAGGTAGTTCAAAATCCAGCATTGTGTACGTATAGTTGAGGTTATTTTTCCCTAGGTGCGTTACCTTGCACGTGTCAACATTACGTTCATCTGCCATTTTTTCAGTTCTCTCACTTAGCCTGGTGAGATCTTTCTGCAGCTTCTTTCCATCAGCCTCAAACTTGACTACGTGGAAATAAATGGGTATTGTCTGCAAACTAGAAAGGCTTGATCTGGCGTGAGAATTTCCTCAGTATCATCTGCAGTAAACACTGATGCAAAGGATTTGTTCAGCTTCTCTGCTGTGGCCCTATCATCTCTGAGTGTGCCTTTTGCACCATGGTGGTCAAATGGTCCCATTGATCCTCTAGCTGGCTTCCTGCTTCTGATGTATTTAAAAAAGTTAAGGAAAAGATAAGGAAAAAATGTCATTGGTGGTAATAGTAAATAGTAAACAAAATGTTCTTTGTGTCTGCGTCAGTGATGTACAAAACACTGTGGCTGCTAAGCACATCATGAGTTACAGGTGTGTAATGATCATGTTATGCAGCACTGAGAGCCCCACCCATAGTCTGCCATTTAGTTTTATCAAAAAGGTAAAACAAACTTTTGAGCAAAAGGAAAAGCATCTTGCTCCATACTTAAAGCCAGAATTTTGCATCTAAAAATCTTCATCTCAACAGAGGATGTTAACTAGATCCTCTTGGTTAACTAGACTCCAAATGAATAGTAGGCTTTATAGAGATGAACATCTTGCATTATCCTTGGAAATGGATTGAAGCCAGTGTGTGTGCTTGCCATAATGCACTAATGGTAACTGGTTCTATTAAAAAAAAAAAAAAAAAGATGAGTTGCTACATTTTACATTGGCTGAATCGTAAATGACTTTTGTGGTTAGCCCTGTAAGGAACACATTACAGTAATTTAGGCTGTAGATTAAGCGGCCTGAGACATTTTTGACTGTTCCTATCCTTTCCAGAGACCAGAGTAGATGCTTGAAGGCATTAAAAGGGTGAAGGGATGTCATTCACTGTAGCAATAATAGAGGTGTCAGGAGGTCTGAATTTTTTTTTTTCCAGTACTACAGAAGCAACTGTTGATGAAAGTGTGCTGCTATCAAGTGTTACAGTTTACTGCTTTAGTGGGTAATCTATGGCACTTTGATACCTTCAGGATGGATTTTTGCAGAATGGAAGTAGTTAGCAGTGAATATAGAAACCCATCCTATTCTTACTTCTGTACTATGTTGATCATCTGCAGTAAGTTGGGGGGAAAAAGGAAAATCTAAATGATTGCTTTTATTCACTCAAATAAAGTAATTGTCAATCTCTTGAAAAAATTTGGCAAATCAGAAAAATGTTTTGGCCATTGAAACAGGAAAAATTAGCAGGCTTATATTACCAATCTTAAACTCTGTGCTGCTCAGATGGGTGTGATACTTATTGACTGACTGATTGATTGATTTGATTTGTGGGTTTGGGTTAAAAAAATAATTTGGAAAATGTTCTTTAAAAAATGTTTGGGTGTATAGAAAGGTAGTGGTTGCACATCCAACAGTGTGTAATATTGTTTATGTCCTATAACCCTAACAGACTTTACCTTCTTTCCACAAGAGGGAGGAGTAGTACTTAGTAATAAGACATTTTGGAGCTGCAGCGTTTTGTGGCTTGCTTTGCCAGTCAAATAAAAGGAAGGAAACGCATCATTTAGAGAGAGAATAAGCCTAAATGTGCTTCGTTTATTTGATCTGTAATATAGTATACACTACATGCAAACTAGTGTTACTTCTTTTTCATCTTAACTGGATAGACACCTAGCACTTTTTTTCCTTGTGGTTTCCATTGCAGCTTGATAGTAAGTCTTGCATGTCTGATAAGAGGTGTTATCTCAGTTATCTACCCTTTAATCTAGTAAATTTAGTTTAAAAAGCAGCTTCAGATAGCAGTCCTCTGCATGAACTAGCATGTGCAGTGTAGTTTTATTTTGTAATGTGAATGCCTATTGTGATTCACATAAAATGTACAGCACTGAACAGCGGAGTAAGTGACTCTTCACACTTAGGTAGGCTTCTTGTGAAACATTTACTGTAGCAAGCAACTCATTTGTTTATGGGGAGGTTATTAGTTATTAGTTAACTTGCTGTTAACTAATTTTTCTGGGAAGTAATTTATTCCACACTTTTCAACAGTCTGCACATCTGACTTTATAATATCTGGTTTGCAAATGCAGCCTGCTGTTGACTTAAACTGTTAATGCTGATGGTAAGATCTTCTAAAGTAAAATTTTTGTAAAATGATTTATGACTTTTTGGCAAGAGGAATATTTTACTAATAAAAGGTATTAGTTTATTTCATAAATGTTTACACATAATGCATTTTTACAGTGCAGTTTTAATAGTGGGTATATAATTATTTAATCCACACCAAGAATTTTGTATTATTAAAATGCATCTTTTATAAAAAAAATAAACAAGAAATGTTATGTTTATAGTCACTACTGATATTCAGTGATTACAGTGACCGTGTATATCGAGAACACTTAAACATCAGGAAGAAAGTTAATGGACTTGAAAGAGGTGATGATGTACAAAGTGCCACATTATGCATTTACATACAGAGGAAAATTACTTGTCAGCAGGGTAAACATCCAAATAAGGCAAAGCCCCAGATTCCAAGGTGACCCTGTTGGATGTCAAGATCTACAGAAGTATTTTGGTACTGAAGTATAGAAGTTCAATCCTCAAACCCCCTTGTTCTGTTTCCATAGGTACCACAAGTCCTCTTGTACATCTAGCCTATCAACCCTTCTGAAAATATTACTTTTGGTCTCTGGCACATTTTGAGCTGTTTAATTTACAAATATATTTTGATGCTTGATAGTTCAGAAGGGGCATTTATCTGCTTTCTAAGACAGTCTGACTAAATGAAGACTTTTTTTCATACAATTTGTCCTTTATAAAAATAGGCTTAGCAAGCTGTAATAAATTACTGAGTCCTGCTTTCTAGGTGCCACACAAATTCTGCAGCAGATATCTACAAATTTAGGATAAGTTTACTTGCTGTCAGTGCTAATGTGTTGATAGCCTCTGATGTTGCTGACACTCAGCTAATGTAGGGCTGAAATGAAGTGAAAACTGTAGTACTGTTATTTCTGGGTTTTTTTGTTTTTTGTAAAGCAAAAAGGAAAAAACCCCATGAATCCAGAAGTTTCTTCTAATAAGATTTTCTCTTCATTCATTTTAAATAAAAATCTCATTTAAAGTTATATATGTTCTATAAGCATATAGTGATGTATGAAATAGAGTCAGAACCTCCAATATTAACCAGTAGAATCTGGTTACTGAAGGTGCAGTGGAGTTCTTCTGAAAATCAGGTCCATAGAATTGATCTTGAAATATGGTGGTTTAGCAGGACATTTTGTGTAATTTTAATTTGTACTAAATACCTGAAATTACTCTGAATAGTTTTCTAGTTCTTCATAAAAAATACCATGAAGTGGCATATTTAGGGAGAGACAAGAGGCAAGTGCCCTAGGTGCTGACAGGGATGGGGGGCCAAAAAACCTGACTTGATGTAGCTGTGTGATTGCAGTGGCAATTAGAAGTTGCCAGTGCTCCTATGAGTGGAAACTGTCTTGAGCAGCCTGCGCCATTCTTATGCTGCTGATATTTCATGTACCTTTGTGTGACTTTTTTTCTTGTTTTTTAGCCATTCAGTGGGTCAGATTCTTTCATATTGACTTGAGCAGTTAATAACAACCAGAAATAACACAAATTTTTATAGGACAGAACAGTTTAATTGTGCTATCTCGCTTCTTTTTTTTCTCTTTACCTTCTTCTGTTCTCTACCAACAAGAGGACTTGTCAAATGGATTTATTTTCAGCATGTGGCAGTCTAGTTGTATATAAAACACTTTATTTAATTATTTTAATTTGGTTGGGCTAAGTGTTCAGTTTGGTCATTCACTCTGGCACAGTAAGCAGTGTAAAGATTAATGTACCAAGTTTGAAATGCCAGATATTTAATTTTGGGAAAATCCTGTAAACCCATTGACATGAACTTTAATATAAGTTAAGCATGAATGGTAATGTAAGCCACAAACTAAATGTTTGCCTTTTTTTCCTGATATCACTTTTCTTTCTGTTGTATACATTAGAAAGTAATGTGCAGAAGCTGTTTTTCTTTCACAAGATATTGATTTTTACAGCAGGATTTTTGTTTAATTTCAAATGGCAAAACTTAGACTGTACTGTATTTAGTCTTTTGCTTAGTTGAATAGTTTGCAGTGATTGCTTAAGTTATGCGTGTTAAGACTAGAATGCATAGAATTAAGAGTCAAGTACCATGTACACAGGCACAGGGTCTAGACGAACATGGCCATGCAGTATGTAGCCACATACCACACGCTCAATTGTTCTCCATGCTACAAGAGAGCAGCATGGGGGGGGTGACCCCAATATCTAGGAGTCAAAACAAAAATCCTGCCTGCACAAAAAAAAAGCCGAGAGGTACACATGAGGGCAGCATGCACCATTCAAACCAGAGCCTGGCCAGCCAAAGCCACACTCCAGCTGCCAGCCAGGCTCTAAGCAGCAGAATCATCACTGCTGCAGCCCTGGGAGACCCCCAGATAAGGCTGCCATGGCCAGCACCAGCTTCCCCTACTCTACCTGGGGTAACCTGCCATGCGCCAGAGGGCTTGTGGCACAGGCATTCCCTGGGGACAACTAGTGGTGGTGCACTTTGTGCCGCCACTAGTTGTCCCCAGGGAACCAAATGTCCATGCTCATGTGGACATGGCCAGGGTGTCTGATTTATAATTAGTCTGCGCTATTGTCATTTGAATAATAATATTTTAATAAAAATGGAAAGAGAATATGCCTAAGCCTGGGCATCTTCCTGAAGCCCTGCAGGACCTTTTTATTTGTCCAGGCATTTAGCAAACAAGGGTAAGTTGGGGTATTGTTCAGGGAGCTTATTGGGTACATTCTAGGTCTTATTTAATATTTGATCTGCTTATGTAAGTCTTTTGTTGTAAGCGGCCTTGATCCTCTCTCTTTTTTTTTTTTTTTTTTTTTTTTTGAAAGGGTAGGCTTTTTTTTTTTTTTTTTTTTTCTTTGAAAGGGTAGCAAAATTTAAATAAATGCATTGGGTAAAAAGCCTTTTTTTTTCCTTTTCTCCCCTGGGTGCTGTCTTCTGTAAATCTTAGGAAACGCAGTTAGGAATGATGGGTTGCAAAAGCAGGAGAAATTTTAACTTTTTTTTAATGTATTTCAGTGAAAATGTGCAGCAAGCATACTGGGAACTGAAGAGGGAAATGTCTAACTTGCATCTGGTGACTGAAATGCAGGCTCAGGTTCTTCGAAAATTGAAAACAAACCCAACTGCAACCAAGAAAGGCAAGTTAGTGTTTGCAGGAATGGGCCTTACATGTGCGAACTGTTTCAAACTACACTATTCTGAAGATAAATTATCTACACCGTATCTCATCAATTGAAGCTGATAAGCCAGACTATATTATAGTTCCAGCATACCCTTTTTCTGCTTTGGCTTCTGTCTCATACTGGTCAACTTCACACATAAAGGTGTTGCTGATGTGTTTTTTCTTCAGTACTGTATTCTGTTCCCCTTGTGGCTTTTTTCTCAGTCAAGTGTTGCTTATGTGCACAAGGCTGAGGTGTTAAGTTTACTTGTATTTGACCTTTTACCACATCTATTTTGTATTTAAAAAAAGAGAGAGAGATTTCATTTTTCAAATGTACTTAATATTTTAACAGTATAGAATTTATCAGTATTCCTCAATCCGGCATTTTAAAAATTCAAGGAGACTTTGAGCTTTTTCCTACAATTACATTTTTCATCACCAAGTAAGAAAATATTCCAAAAAATCTCCCAGTCAAATATCTAAGATTACATTTGCTGTGTTTCAAAATTCTGATGCTTCAAAGCTGACTTACCTCTAGCACCTAAAAACAACTAAGGAAAAAATAGTCACTTCTGTTAGTTTTTCTGCATTATACATAAAGCATTTTTATATGTTGCTCACTGAAATTGTCTACTTGTGTGTGCACGTGTAGTAAGTATTTCCCTCTATCAGGGGCTTCACAAGGCATGTGTGTTAATTTAGCACTATCAGTTATGATAACCTACCAGTAGAAAACAAAAGGAGAATAACATCCAATTAAAGTAAGTGGCAATATCCATTTTTGCTTCTGAATGTAGGAAACGTATATAATGGATTAATTTTCTGATCAAGTGACTGCTGAATTTGACTGCATTGGATGATGTCTCTCTCTCTCTTATAAAAGATATAACAAGATCACGACTCAGATGGAAATTCCTACAGTGCCTACTATAAGGAGGCACATTCCTATAACTGGATCACTTAGATCAAGGTTACTAATTCTACTGTGGCTTTGGTTAATAATGATTTAAGATGATTCAAGTCAGCAGGTCCTGACGATCTCCACCCCAGAATACTGAGGTAATTAGCAGAGGTCATTGCAGGACCCCTGGCACAGCTTTATGAGCACTCATGGTGCTTTGGTGAGGTGCCAGAGGACTAGAAAAGGGCCAATGTGGTCCCTTTTCAAAAAAGGGAGGAAAGAAGACCCAGGAAACTACAGGCCCATTAGTCTTACCTCAGTCCTGGGGAAGCTCTTCAAGAAACTTATCCAGGAGCACATCTGCAAGGGACCAGCAGGGGAGATCATGCTTAGGGGCAACCAGGTTCATTAGAGGCAGGTCCTATCAGACCAACCTGGTGGCCTTCTATGATCAGGTCACAAAATCCTTGGACGCAGGTGTAGTGGTGGACGTAGTCTTTCTGGACTTTAGAAAGGCCTTTGACACTGTCTCTCACCTCATTTTCATTAAGAAATTAAGTGACCTGTGGTGTCGATGCCTACAGAGTCAGATGGGTCGCAAATTGGCTGGAGGGCCATGCCCAGAGAGTGGTGGTGGATGGGTCTTTTTCAACCTGGAGGGATGTGGGCAGTGGGGTCCCCCAGGGCTCGGTCCTTGGGCCCGCACTGTTCAACATCTTCATCAGCGACTTAGACGAGGGGGTGAAAAGCACCTTGTTCAAATTCACGGATGACACTAAAATGTAGGGTGAAGTGGGCACGCTAGAAGAGAGGAACAGGCTACAACTAGATCTGGACAGGTTACAGGGGTGGGCGGATGAGAACAGGATGGGATTCAATACTGACAAGTGCAAGGTACTGCACCTGAGGAGGAAGAACCAGCAGCATACCTATAGGCTGGGGAACTCCCTTATCAGCACGGAAGCAGAAAAGTATCTTGGTGTCATTATTGATTCCAAGATGAACATGGGCCGCTAATGTGAGGACGTGGTCAGTAGGGCCAACTGCATCTTGTCATGCATCCACAGATGCATCACGAGCAGGTCCAAGGAGGTGATCCTCCCCCTCTGTGACATTGGTCAAGCCGCAGTTGGAGTAATGCATCCAGTTCTAGGCACCGCACTTCAAGAGGGATGTGGACAGCGTTGAGAGTGTCCAAAGGAGGGCCACTCGCATGATCAGGGGCAGCAAGGCAGGCCCTAAGAGTGGAGGCTACGGGACCTGAACCTGTTCAGCCTCCACAAGAGAAGGCTGAGAGGGGATCTGGTGGCCATCTATGAACTGGCCAAGGGGGACCAGCAGGCAATGGGAGATACCCTGTTCCCCCAAGCACTACCGCGAGTAACAAGGAATAACGGCCGTAAGTTGACCGCGAGTAGATTCAGGCTAGATATCAGGAGGCACTACTTCACAGTCAGGGCAGCTAGGAGCTGGAACCAACTTCCAAGGGAAGTGGTGCTCGCTCCTACCCTGGGCGTCTTCAAAAGGAGGCTAGATAACCACCCTGCCGGGGTCGTTTGACCCCAGCGTTCTTTCCTCCCATGGCAGGGGGTCAGACTAGATGATCTGCTCAGGTCCCTTCCGATCCTACCTACTATGAAACTAAGATAATCTGAAAGTTGGCTACTAGTCTGTAAAATGGGATAGCAGCTTCAGTCAAGTACCTACTAGGTGAATGCTTGCTGAAATTGTAGTTACAGTACTGACTGCCTTTTCCATATGCAAGTGCATATACTGAAATGAACTAAACCACATATATTCAACACTAGCACATTAATCCAGTTTCACTGTAGAAACTGAAAATTGTCTGTGCCAGGTTTTGGTGTGCTGTTTGCCAACTTACAACTACCTATATAATGTGCTGGTTTTGTGACTGAAGTTTTCAGGGTTGCTTGTCTGGCTTATGCACAAGTGGTAATGCACAATTCCCTTCTTCCCTCTGAATAAAAACTTGTTTCAGGAGCATGTGTGCAGTTGATAATGAATCATTGTATCCAAAGATACAGGAGGCAGCATTATCAATTGATCTGTTAGACTGTATAGACTTTTGCTACTGTTGCTTTCTAGATTTCTTTATCAATAATTATTACATAAAGGCATGTGGGCTTAAGACTGGAAAACCTCAAGAGGAGAGAGAAAAAACTAGATGTACCTTGCATGGTTTATCAACATTACTTGTTTATGGAACACTATCCTAACACACCTGCAGTGCTACCATGTGAAGGAGCATTGACTTGAGCCATGTTTTGGATTATTCAAGGGAGAATCAGTTTGCCTCAAAAGTTGTTAGTGCAGTCATCATCTCTCTCAAACATGAGTTGGTTTTAAGGGTCATGAAAATGAGGCACTTGAAGAACAGATAGGTACACACTATCCTCATTAACAAATGTCTCATTATTCCACAACAACATCAGACAGCAGTTGAGGAAGTAAGCCATTGCTTACAAAAGCTTGCACATCTCTGACTTTGTGTATGAGGTGCAAGTCTACCTGCCCAGTTATTCCATGACTATCTCAAAGGTTTTCCCGGTATATTTGAGGGCACATATTTGATTTGAGTCATAATTTGGATAAGTAAAATAGTGAAGTAAAGGTGACTGGATTGTAAATTTATATAGCTAAAACTAGGTCAGTAACAAAGAATTCAGCTCCCATAAGAATCACTATCTTTTTTCCCAGTAGTGCTGAATACATGTTTAGTTCATTTTAGTATAGGTAGTTTCATATGAAAAAGTTTGGTACAATATGGAATATCTTTGAAGAAATGGCTAATGGAACATATGGTAATAATAAGCATGTAATAATAATGGTAATAATAAGTATTGTGCTGGTGTAAAGAGATTCTTCCCCCCACCCACTATGGTAATTATAAGTTTTTTGTTCTTTCAAACATGCAAGTTATTTAAATCTGAAACAGCAGCCCTCTTCTTTTATGCTGTCCATTTCCCTAAAATCTGTAGAAGTCAGAAGTATTTGCTATGTTAATTATTGCAAGATGCTTGTGTATTCCATTAATCTGTCAGTGACCTATGTTATCTGGTCAACAAACTTGCCTCAGCCCATAGCCTCCTGAAGCATTTTGGAAATCCTTTCATCCATGATAGTAGACATGACATGACAGAAAACATGGTGTTTTCTGATGCTTTGCCATACCTTTTTCCAGGAGAAGGCAGAACCTCGGCAAATTTTAAGATGAAATCAAATATAATGCTACAGATCCTGATATGAACAGAGGTCATTCTGATATCTTTAGACATCCACCCTAGGAAGTAGTTTGAGTTGATGTGATTCTGAAGTGTAGAAGCAGAAATGGGAGTGGCTGTCAGAAGTAGACCAAGTCTGCTCTTGTACAAAGTTTTTACTTGGCTGATAGTTTGTCCCATCTTGTCCACAAAAGGCATTGTCCTTTTTACTAGCTGGTTCTTGACAATGCAGTGGTTACGAGGAAATATGTTTCTCTTTTTTAGCTCTATCTGCAGAAAGTCTCACTTTCTCCTCAGGTATTCCAGCGACATGCTTCTGAGCTAACCAAATTAAAGCTAAGTGACTGAACGTTGCAGCAGAGACCTTGGTTGACTTGCAGTTGCCTCCACTTCTTGGATACCTTTTTAATTCTAACAGTTCCTTCAGTGAAAGCATTCTAATAGTGTACATAGTTAAAATGGAGCAAGATCATTAGGTCAAAGGCTGTATTCGAGTTTGTAGAACGTGATATAACAAGGTATCAGTTCTAAATTGGGTCTCTTGCCATTAATTCAAAGTGTGTGTGTGTGTGAGAGAGAGAGAAACCTACTACACTAGTAGGGCATGGTTGTCCATACGGCCACATCCCAACCCTTATTATTCTTAGGAGTTGTGTTATTGAGATGTTAAAGAACTTTTAAATTGAATATTACAAGTATTGAATCTGCAATCTTCATTAAGCAGTTCTAACTCAAGCTGCCAACTGGCTGCAAAATATTCCTCCATTCTGCTCAAGGGGGCTGTCCTGTTCCACACTAATGTGAATAGCTGTGCTACTGCTATAGCTAGCTGTTAAAGTTCAGTTGAACTAGTTCATTCCAACTTTTTTACACTTGTAGATGAATTAGTGTCTCATTTGCCTCAATGTTTTAGCAATTCTAATATCTACAATATCTGGAGCAGTGTAATGGTGGCTGTTCTTCCTTGTGCCCACGGATAGCTTAGAACTCAGAAGCTGCTTTTTACACTGTCGGCACAAAGGGAGCAAATCACAGAATCCATATCTTTCAGATTTGACTAACCAGCCATTGGGAAGTGCTTTTCACTGAAACTTGCAAATAAATTGCCATTTAATGACCTTCCCTGGCAGGGTGAGGCTACATCCCTTCGCTGTGGTTATAAGCTACATTTTGTACTCAAAATTCATAGCTAGAGTAGGAAACCACCTCTCAGGTATGGATTTCTTATAACTGGGAGACTCCAACAGAAAAAAAATTGCCAATCCTCATTGAATTTGTAGTGAAATGTGAGAGAACAGTGCCTGCTCTGAGCACTGTAGTTCCTCTGGTCCTGTGCTGTCCACAACGTAACTAGTTCCTTTCCCACACACTTTTTCAGAGTATACTGAATGTTACCTGGAGTGGTAGGCCAGGCTTGCAGTCTGTTGCTACATTTCCAGCAGTTAAACTACCTTTCAACATGAACAACATGAGCACTAAGCCAGGAAAAGGGAGATGTTTCCTGGACTCAGTGAGAGCTCAAAGCCTGGCAGCAGGAGAATGCAATTTATTAAACACAATAGTGACACGAGAAGCAAGATTTCCTGCAGTTGGACAATATTCTGGATTTCTCTCAGTTTATATCTCTGGGGCAACACTTCTAGTAGCCTTTGCAAACCTCTTGAGCTCGACTGGGCCCCCAATGCAACTCTGGGAATTGGTTAGCTTCCCCAAGTAATATACTGAGAGAGTGCTTTTTCAAGTGCTAGGGTGAAACTTTAATTTAAAGATTCAATGTTGTGTTCATTAATTAGTGAATGCTCAAGAGAGGCAGTCCTAAAAACATGCCAGTTGAAAATACCTGCCCTTTTTACTAGGTAGTGTAATATATCTAGATATACCCTTTTGATACCCTTAGAAATAGCCAACACTTTCTAATTTTATGCAGCTCTTTAAAGAATAATGTTTGTTTGTCTTCTCTCTCCAGCTTCCTCTTGTACACCCGTACAGTGTGTTGAAGACCTGGAGAAGGACCTCTCAAAGTTATGTTTGACTTCTTCTGGGGCATTCTACAAAAAAACCTCTCCTTCACAAAATGACAAAGTACTCTGCAATGCCATAGCTTCCCCTCTGCCAAGAGGTATAAACATGTTGTCTGAAAGGGAAAATCTCCAGTCATGGACAGATGAAAATACCATCCCAGCTGGCGTTACAGCGTTTCAGGAACACAATTCTTATGCAAAGAGCTCTCTGGAAGATAATTCCTGGGTATTCCCAAGCCCACCGAAACCTAGTGAGACTGTGTTTTGGGAAACAAAAAACAAAGCATCTTTGTCAAACTATCCAGTAGATTACCTGGATCGGTGTAACCAAAACTGCCTGCACAAGAGCTAAGTCACTTGTAGAAGAAATTGAGGCTGGTTCTGACTGCTGGAACTTTTGAAAGAGCAAAGCAGTTGGGTAAAAAGTGGAAGTATGTTTTATGTTTTTTGTCTTATTCCAAGACAAGGCCTGGTCTCTCACTGCTGTAAATCATTATTGAAGGCAGTGCAGGTGTCAGCAAATCAGAATTGGACTCGAAAGTCCTCATGTATGGAAAATATCACACCCTTGCAAAGCATTATGCAGACTTAAGAATTTAATTCTTGGAATAAAATTAAGTAATTCAGCTCTGTATTTCAATGTGCTGTATGTACATAATACTGCTTGTAAAAGCATTTGGTTTCGTCTGTTAGAAACTTCTAAAAGCTGTGAGCTTACTTTGACGGTGATCTTTCTGATTGGATCGCTCAGGCAAAGATTAAAATTGGAATTCTCTCCCCTCTGGTTTAGGAACAGGCACTGACTGCCAGGAAGAAAATATGAGGTATCTTTCTCAAAATAATGTTTTTATTTGTACCATATAAAAACCAAAAATTCCTAGGAGTTCCTGTTTAGATGGTCTTATAAGTATATAAATACCATAACTAGATGCTGCTGAAAGTTACAATTCATGGATCTCTATTTTTGTTTTCTCAATTCAGACCAAGAATGAAATGTATTCTATGCACAATAGTGCCTGCTACAAAATCACCATAACAAAATGACAGTGATTATGTGCATCCTTTGCACATCACTGAAATCTTCTCTTTTTAACTGCTTGGTTTCTAAAGCTACTACTACTAACCCTTTTTTTAAACACTGAGAAGCCTTAATTTGAGCAATTTTAACTATTGCTTAAAATAACAATTATTAAGCCACAACTTGGTTTTTAATCTTTAAAGAAGAAAATGAAAATCTTTCAAATTATAGCTACCTGCTTTATATAGACTGTTATGTGTCCAAGTAAGGATGTATTTGGGTGACTGATACGAAAACTTCTTTTCCTTTAAAACCAGGAACTTCTACGCCGATGCAAGTTACAGTATTTTTCTAAAGCTGCCTGGCTTCATAGAGTTGGCTGAAAGTGAAATGGCTAGCATGTACAATAATCAGGATAAACATGCTATGTCAGGTTATTTCAGATTCCCAAGGAATTTGGCATGATAAAATGATTAATGCCATTGTTTTATGATTGTTCCCTGCCTAAAAATGAGCAGAAGTATTGAAATTCATGGGCCCAGTTTGAGGTCAGTGTAAGAAACTGTGATTGTTTGTTTGTTTTTAACAGGTCAATACCAAAATATTAAAAATGAGCTGTCATTGCATAAGGAAAAGCTATGACTCCTTAAAGAGCCACTGTCAGTGCCCAAGTATATGATATAACTTGAGTAATACTTGACCAGTATGGCTCTAAACACTCCCCCCTATGGATTAAATGTTCCACATGATGCCCATCTCCTTCTTCCCTATTGCCAATCAAAACTGAAAGAATGTCTTTCAGATACCTTCTACTGTATTAGTGAACAGCATACATAAATAATGTCTACCATTCACCAGATACTGTTTTTATCTTTCTATTATCTTGCTCGCGTATACTGGCTTGTCTGTGATTAATGGAAATGATGTCAGATGCTGGAATTTATTCTGACCAATGAACATAGCTGACTCAAGGGAGTACAATCTCTTGCAAAGTAATAGAACAAAACCCAGTATGCATAAAACAAATCCAAGTCACTAGGCTTTAGCTGATAGAACCAACTACCTGTGTAATAACAGAGCAGCAGAAACCATTTCTCATGTGGCTGCATAGATTCTATTGTATCTAGTTCTAATGTAGCTTACTGGGTTTTTCTTTGGTTACACTGATTTTTGTTGTTGTTTTTGTTTGTTTTTTGTTTGTTTTTGTTTTTTGGGGTTTTTTTGGTGGTTTTTTTTTTTTTGGCATTTTGGGTAAGTAATGCAGACACCAACTTGATTTAACATAAGTTGACATAACAATGAAGGAAACCTGTTGTGTAAGATTTTAAATAAATTTATTTTTGCTTGAAACAGGCTTCACTTCTAAATCTCCATTAGACTCTGGCAGTCCAACCGGTTCCTTTGTTGCTATATGATTTTTTTAATTATTATTATTTGTGTAGCAGAATCCGATAGAAGTTCATTAAAAAGTAGAGGATTAAAAGTGCTTTCTTAGCTTTTATAAAATGCATATATATCCTCGACATGTTGTTCTGCACTGAGAGCGGGTACTCATCCTGGCTGCCCAGAAGTAGGGGACCTGGGTGGCTTTTTGTTTACAGCACATGCATGCATATTCTCCCTCTGTGGTTTTTTGTTTTTGTTTATTTCATTTTAAAACCACTTCCCAGTCTTGCTTTGCTTTTCATTTTGTGTGTATATCCACGCTGCACTTCAACATAAAGAGCCCACATTCTTCATGCTTAGAATTTCCTGTGCCTTGCTTTTTGCTATAAGTCTGTGCTATCTTCTGCTGCTGATTTCCTGAGCCAAGGGTGAGAATACGGAGGGGGAAATGGCACTTGCTGAGAGGGACTTCTGGAGAAAAAACTGCTGACAGTGGCCATGCCATAACTCTAGTAAAGGTTGTCCCTAGGTTTAGAGTAATTTGGGAGCTAACTCATTTCTGAAGTGTCAATGCTTTTGTTGGACTGAAGTCTCCAATCAAACCTTGACTTTAGAGAAAAGCCATTTAACTCTTGTTTTTTTTGTGGCTTACAATGCTTTTCCATTTTCAAAAATCAAAGCTTCTCGTAGCAATGCCCACAAAGTATACACTGATGCTTTAGGTAAAGTATGGCTCTAGTCTTTGGAGGAAAGTGGGGTAGAAACAAGTCACTCAGTTTGATCAGTGAGTCATAGTAAGAAATCCCCAAAAGAAAAAAAAAGTAGAAAAAATTCTGCTGCAAGTAGGTAAGTTCCATGAAAAAAATGAAAATTTTAATTCAATTTGTTTGGAAAACTTCATCTGCTGCATGCATCTCGTCAGTCCTTGTACCCTGCCAAGCATTAATCCTCCTCAGTGCAGGTATTAGGAATATTGAACTGTTCTTTGAAAATCTGCCAGTATTCTGATATAAGCATGGCTTGCTGCTTTGTGTATAAAGCAAGTTGACACTGTATTGAATATTTTGGAGGTTGGTTATTTTCCAGTGCCTTTGTTAATAACTCTTGCACTGTATAAACTTTGCTGCATCAAAAAAGTTTAAAAAAAAATCCTTTGTGCCAAGTCTTCCTGTTTAATATTGTGGTTCTGCAATAATGAAAAGTGAAACTAATCGTGATTGTTGCATGAAATATCCATGCCAAGGAGGAAAAAAGTGAAGCATGAATTTTGGCTTTATCTAATGTGCTGTCCTGCATACATTCTTCTCATCTTTTCTAACTATTATAAAGTACTCCATCGTGCTTGTTTCAATAACAGATTAGAAAAATAGACCTTTTGTCACTGCACCTATCCCTTAGTTTTTATCTGTTACCAATTTTTAAAAACAGTCTAACTCGTACCCTATTCCACAGATGTACAGGAAGAAAATGTCTTATTCCAAAGAGGTGACTTGTGGGGTTTTTGTTGAGGACCCCTACACACTGTTGACTGTTTAATAATCATGCTATCCTGCACACCTAATAAAATCACCTGTGGAATGAATTGTTCCTTAATTTGGAAGCATTTAGGTGGACCAGTAATGTGGGATTTTGCGTTTAGGATAATATTAGAAAATTACTTAACTGAGTAAATGTCATCTCCAATTACAATGAAATTTGATCAAAACCTCACTACTTCAAAGATGACTACAGATGTATCAGTAAATGTAAATAGAAGATATTTCCTAAGGAAAACATATTGGAGTATGAAATAATCTTTTCTGCCTGTTCATTTCTTCTAGCAGTGGCAGAGATGGAGTAGGTGGTAGAGTTGTTGTTTAGGGCAGGGGTCAGCAAATTGTATTGCGGAGCCACTAGATCTGTCCAACAAAGCTGGAGGGCTTTGTGAATGCCAGTGGCATTCAACTGGTGTGTGGACCCCTAGGGGGCTGTAGACTATGTCTAAGGGGTTCTCAAAATATGACTATGTTCAATTAAAAGTATGTAAGCACCCACGCTTAGAATTCAAGGGGGTCTATACCTCCATCCAAAATTTTTTTTTTAGGGGTCTGCAAATGAAAAAAGGTTGAAAATTACTGGCCCATGCCAGGCAGCTTCAGCTGTACCCACAGCACTGCTACTTCCTTTTGTCCTTGCTCTGGTCTGATGCAGGCCATGTGCATCAAGAGAAGAGGGCTTTCCTTTTACGCAAGCCAGGGCCAGGGAACTGGAAATTATGCCTGTGCTGCCACCACTTCCCTCAGCTTCCTGCTTCCTAGCTGCAGCACAGGTGCAGCTTCCAGTCTGTGGAGGGCTGCAACAGAGCAAGGCAACTAAAAAGTGTCTTCATGCTGCCACCACTTCTTCCTGCTGGTCCCCCACCTCCTGTCAACTGCAGTGTGAGCTCAGATTCCAGCTGTGCCTCCACTGCATTTGGGGAGGAACAGAGAGAAGCAGTAATTTGCAGATATATGGCCCTGGAACAATTGCCTGCCAGCTGAAAGCTGCACACATGCTGCATCTGGGGAGCAGGGGTTTGGCAAGTGGTGCAGCTCCCATCTGTGTGGCTCTGGGAGGGACACAGGGAAAGGCCCACCATTACACCCGACGTGCAGCTGAATCTGCCCTGCCTGCATTGGATCAGAGCCAGGTTGTTCTTGGTTCTCAGTTTGTAAAAAGGTGCCAGCCCCTGCTTTAGGGTATACAATAAGATGGGCAGAAACATGTATTTACTCCATGCCAGAGTCTTGAAACAATATAGTGGAATTGTTAGAGAGACAGTAATGTCCTTGGTGGTGATGATGTTGGAGAAGCCTCAGCACTGCTCTCTTGAAATTGTGAAGAGTGGTGGAAAGGTCATGAAAGAGCATCAATGATTTTAGATAAATGAATACCCACAGCATCACTGATACTCATCCGTAAAGTACTTGGAACTCTACAAAAGCACCTAAAATGGTGCTAGACCACTTTTTAACATGAACTTGCAGGTTGACCTGTAATCCCACAGGAATGCTTGGAGGAGTCCAGTGATGCTACTCCTCTATAATGGTGGGGCATAGCCACAAAGGCTACCCACAAAGTTCTCTTAAGTTAAATTCTTAACAGAGATGGGAGGAAGGTCCCAACTTGTTTTGGGAAAAAACAAATGAACAGGTGTTAACTACCATTTATACCTTTGCACAGCTCCCCGTCAGAGATATTCTGTCTTTAATATAATTTATGCTTGATTTAAATAAAAAGGTTTGTTCCTATGCAGGAGGTGTTTTGATTTTGACGTGTGTCATTTCAAGTAAATTCTGACAAAGATTTCTGAGTGGAATTGAGGAGAGGAGCATATACCTAAGAGGTCTATTTTAGTGAGAAATGTGAATTCCTTTCATATCAGTCAAACTAGCACTATGAGAGAGAGTCTGTGGTTTACTGTGTAAATGTAGAGGAAAAAAAGCACACTAGGTTACAATCTGGTCCTCAGGTTTAAGTCGACATAGTTGCATCGAGTCAGTAGTATAACATGTTTTTGTTTTTTTGGGGAGGGGGGTTATGTTTTCTTCATTTCATTTTTTAACCAGTTTTACCACATAAATATGTCAGTATTGCTTTTTTTTTTTTTACCATAGGCCCGCATTAAAAATAAATAAAACAAAACACCCAAATTAGAAATGAGAATCACTGTAGCTGCCATAAACATTGTGTAAGTGAAAACTAGCAAAGATAGTTTAGTAACTAACTCCAGATTCCCACCTCCTTGCAAGGTCATGTTTTAAAGGTCTTTGGGCCTGATTCTCATTTAAGTTACTGTAGTTTAACTATTTATTCACACGCTTCAAAATTACTGACATGTATGTGGTGATTAGAATTAGTTCCCTTTCTTGAGTCGTGTCAAAAATTAAATTAGTTAACTCATTCACCATAGTCCTAATTTAAAACACTTTTAAGTGAGGATTTACATAGATGTATATATTCTACTGTACTTTACTAACAGCAACTGTTCACACTCCAAGTATAAAAAAAAAAAAATGGTATTCAGTGCAGCGTTCGTCTGGCAGATTCTAAAAAAAAATTTGGTAAAGTAACTTGATGCTCCCATCACCATTAACACTTCTTTCTCTGACACTAAATCACAATTCAAAGGCTTTTTATAATGCCAGCATTATGTAAAATAGTTTGCTACACTGATTATAATCCCTAAAATTATTTGTTGTCAACTTCAGCAGGCAGGCAAGATAGTGACCTAGGCAAAAACCAAACCCATGACACTCACCAGTAAGTTTTAAAAGCCAATTTCATAGAATGATTTTTTTGTTGTTTTTAAAATTAACAGCACTGTAACTTGAACAAGGAAAGCCAAGGACATAGCTTTAATTTGGTATTTTTGAGCCTGAATAGCTGTGTGCGCATCAAAAAGATCCTTATCAGTCAGGAGCAGAGTTCAACTCATCCTAGATTCTGAATGAGGCAGCAGTCACATGATATTTGGATATAATGTACAATGTCTGCCAGTAGCCTGATATGCTACATGTATATCTTGGCCAGAACTAGCCAATGAACTTTCTACTTTGGTGGGACCAAATCTATTCAATTAATTACAGTCTTTCAGGTCAAAAACACTAAAATCATTAGTAGGCAATGCATTATTCTGTGTAATTTTAAGATTGGCTAAAGGGGAGTGCGGTATCGGATAGCTGACAGCACAGCCCACCAAAGATTTTAGTCTTTTCAGCTTCCAAAATACCCTCCCACCTTTGTTTAGGGTTCTCTTGATTTTAATTGAGGTAACTATGTATTTTTCCCCTCTCAGAATTTTCAGATAGTCACCCAACAGTGAAGTGGAATTTTAAAAAGATATTCTTTCAACACATAGTATGTGGCATATTCTAAATTTCTTATTTAAAAAAAAAAAAGTGTCTCTGACTTTCTCTATCATTTTCTTTCCTGTCCTTTCACCAGATGCTTAACTTATTGATACATATATGTGGTTTGCTTGCTTACTATTATCCATAGTAATTTTGCAAGTGTGGTTGCTTAATTTTGATGCGTAGGTGATATTTACATAACTACAAACCCTAACATCTCTTTTGAATCAGCTAGAGACTGAAAGAAACATCTTGGTGTTTTGCCCATTCAGAACAACCTCCTAAAAGAAATCTAGATGTGAACAATTGTTTGCTTGTTTTTCCACTTACTCTTAAGTTTGTGGCAGCTATAGTAATTACAGGCCATGTCGTCATTCTCTTACAGCTCTGAGTGTTGAACTGAAAAATGAAAAAAAGTGATCCTCCTACCTGCTAGAAATGATATTGCCATTCTCTGCCCCTTTATTGGGTAAGCTGGCTTGACTATTCAGTCTATTATTATTCAGACTTCAAAAAAACATTTACTGCTTCTTGTTCATTCATTTTTGTATCAAGTTTGCAGCACTGTCTCCATGCTTTCTCTTTAAAGTATTTTATATTGCAGCTAATCTTTTTTTTTTTTTGCCTTCTTTCTCTCTCCTCAACACTTCATCTTCTTCCCATCCATTTTTTACTGATTCATCAATTAAAGACCATCTCTCTGTGAAACTATTCTTAGGCTTCTACTTCTATCTTAATCACTTCCTGCAGAGACATTGAAGTGAGAAAATCTGCCTTGAAAAGCTCACGTTTGCCACCCTAGAAACTGTGATGAAGATCCAGATGGTACCAGGACAAGAAAGACTGAATTCTGCCTGGGACTAACTATGCCTTTTCTTTACAACTGTAGCTCTTGATGGTGTAGTGTGCTAAAAAGTGATTGTCATAATATGGTTCAAACTTCAGATGAGGAATAGGAAAGGAATTTAAATTCATTTTTATTAAATGAGATAATAAAACATATTAATGTTTAAACAGTAATAATGGCACTGCAAGGGTACATTTGAGGAGGGAAAAATACAAGTGTAGAAAGTCTGTGTGTGGCCTCTTACAACCTGAAGCAAAAACAAGCCTTAAATTGTTCTTTTAAAACAACAGCAGCTGGAATTCCTCTGAAATATATGCAAAACATCTTCCTTTGGAGAAGCAAAAAAATATCTTGAGGAAACAAGCCAAACCACCAGGAATATTGATAGAGAAAAATCAGCAAGGAGTCCAGTAAGAAGAGATGTGTGTCGTTTCCCCCCGCCCCCGGCCCCAGATTAAACTTCAAGTCCACGTTCCTCAAATCCTTGAAATTAAGAAAGTAAAAAAATGCTGGATATATTCATAGTAAGTTATTTATTCCCAATACACCCGAGATGCATTCATTCTATATTTTTCACTCAAATCCTGCTTGGAAGACGCTTTAAAAAAAAAAAAGTCTGTTTGCCTGATTAGCTCATTTTACCAATTCAAAATGTGTACAGATAACACAACTGAGATTTCAGAACTTGATTTCATATTTTAGTTACATTGATGTAGGAAGTTTCTGCTGTTTCTGCTTAGCAGGAATTCCAGTTTTTCTATATTCTTCTCTTTGCTTTAGATATTCCATTTTGCATTCTTCATAAAATGCTGGGTCAGAGTAGCTAGAAAAAAAAGACAAAATACAAATAATACCATGGCTTCAGTCTTAACTGAAGAACAGGTATGTATAAAACTGAAGGCGATACTATCACCACTAAATAATATTGTGCTACAGTGAGTGTAAATATTATGTGCAATTTGTGTATTAAGCATCTGAAGTTCAGATCTGCATCTGTCCTTCCAGCATTTCACTACTGGACAGAATGGCCCTAAAGCATGACATAGCTGAAGGATACAACAAAGCACTTCTGGAAATACAATCCCCAAAAGGGAAAGGCATGAAGGGCATGTGGGCAGGGGAGCAAGGTGTGGGGGTCAGGCTACCTACCTACCCACCCACCCATTGCTGCAGTCAGGGACAAAATTTAAGACAATCCTCCAATAGTTAGATTCTATTGGAAACTTGTTATAATTTTCTATGTAAATTTTCTGTATAAAGAACCTAATTACTGGGCAGTCATCTTAAATTTGAAGTCATCTTGGATTTGGGTGAGTATGGTAGTTTATGGCACCTGCCACAGAAAAGAAAAATAGGAAAAAATATCATTCCTTCAGACTTTGATAACAGTCAATGGTCAAGAAAAAGTTTAACAGCTCAGTGCTGCTCTTTGAAACCAAGGTAAAATACTTTCCCCCCTACCACCACTATCTGTAGCAATGGTCCTAATGTTGTGAACAGGTTTTCATAAATATGGGACAATTTTCAGTTAAAGAGAGGGAAAAGGCTTCCTTCAATTAGTTCCATCTGTTTCCTATTTGTAGTAATACCAAGTGACTGCCTTTCTTTTTTGAACATCAATGTGGCAAAAATAACTCGCTCTATAGTAGTTTCATAGTTGGTAGGGGTGGAAGGGACCTGAGGAGATCATCTAGTCCGACCCCCCTGCCGAGGCAGGAAAGAGTACTGGGGTCAAACAACCCCGGGCAGATGTTCATCCAGCCTTTTTTTAAAGACCCCCAGGGTAGGAACCAGCACCACCACTTTTGGAAGTTGGTTCCAGGTCCTAGTCGCCCTGACAGTAAAATAGCACCTCCTGACGTCTAGCCTGAAACTACCCTCTGCTAGCTTGTGTCTGTTGTTTCTTGTAACTCCTGGGAGTGCTCGGGGGAACAGGGACTCTCCCAATGCCTGCTGGTCCCCCTTGACTAGTTTGTAGACTGCCACTAGATCCCCCCTCAGCCTTCTCTTTTGGAGGCTGAACAGGTTCAGGTCCCTCAGCCTCTCCTCGTAGGGCCTGCCCTGCTGACCCCTGATCATGCAGGTGGCCCTCCATTGGACCCTCTCCATATCGGCCACATCCCTCCTGAAGTGCGGCGCCCAGAACTGGATGCAGTACTCCAGCTGCGGCCTGACCAGGCGCAC